CCCACATCCTTAACTATTTGCGAACAGTAATCTAATCTAGGTCTACCTCTACCCCTCCTAACTCCTGTTTCTGCCTCTAATATGTCTCTGACTAGACCTTCATGCCTGAGAAGGTGTCCTACTAACCTATCTCGCCTGTTTCTTATTGTCTTCCATAGAGTCCTCTGTTCTTCCATTCTTTCTAATACCTCTTCATTTCTAACCTTCTCTACCCACGTTATCCTCATCATTCGCCTGTAACACCACATTTCGAACTCTAAAATCTTGTTATAACAAAAACATATTAATCGAACATAGCTAATAAACTAGGTCTAGCCAGTGCGGCTTCTTTGATTTGGTTATTGTTTTAAAACTGCAAGGAAGAAATTAACAGTTTTAGTCGTGCAGTTTCTGTCTTAAATTGTCTTCTTCTTGCACGTTTAGCAAGACTAAAATCAAGTTCAACACTTAGCTATGCTCGTAGACCAAGACCAAAAGCAAATTGTCTTGATCCTGCACATTGAATAAGATCAATATCAAGACTCAGCTCCGGTTGCACGACTAAAACTAAGACTAAGAGTTAATTGCCTCAACCTTGCACGATTAGCAACGCCAAGATCATAGCCAAGTCTTAGATATGCTCGCACGACTAAAACCAAGACCAACAGTAAATTGTCTTAGTCTTACACGTTTAGCAAGACCAAGATCAAGACTTAATGTTTAAGTATATTCAGTTCTGAATAAAAATTAAAAGTTATAAACGAAGTAAAGCAACTTTAATTTACGTTTTTCGTTCAAATGTCGCTACTTTTAAAGTTTATCATTAACATTCACAATCTTTTTTGTTGTTGTGTTTCCAGTTTTTGCGATTGCGTGACATGTTTTATTACATGGTAAACTTCTGTATTGGTTTTACCCTATAATTTACTTTTTCCTAAAGCTGTATCAATATAAAACTAATTCTACGGTAGGTATATTCTATTTCATAAACGTAATCTATCGCTGGAAACAGACAAAATAGAAGGTTAGAAATGAAGAGGTATTAGAAAGACTAGGAGAACAGAGAACGGTAAAGGTCTAGATGATGGCCCCCAGCCCCGAAGAGGGTGGGGTTGGGCGGATCGCAAGAGGAGGTCTCCCCCATCACTGTCCCATACAAAGTTCGTGGCAATCTCACCCTCATAAAAACTTATGGAGGTTAGATGATGCCCCAACCCCGAACGAGGTGGGGTTAGAGGGGATCGAAAGGGGGTGGTCATCTGAGTAAAACCGCATAAAAAGTTGCGGAGGTCTCACCCCCATAAAAAGGTATGGGGGTTGAAAGTTGATTATTTTGACAATTTCATACACTATAATTCAAATAAAATTCAATAAAATAAATTTTCAAGCGGGTGGAGGTGGGGGATCGCAAGAGGGTGGTCACTTGAACAAAACCCGATAACCTAACCTGACCTAACCTACCCTATTGATAAAGATATTTAAATAACGTTTTATATAAATTTCTCAATATTTTTATGTATTTTTCATTAGTTTTACCTTTGAATATTGTTTAAGAATGACTATATAAA